CCGCCCCCTGTGAGCCCCTTGATCCGGACACCTGGTTCCCCCGAGGCGCCTGGTACCCGGATGCTCCTCAGGTCTGATGGAGGCTCTTTCTCCTTATGGATTTCGGGCTCTCTGGGAAGAAGGTCCAGTCCTGGGAGACACAGAAGGTCAACTGGAAGTAGGGAAAAGAGCCCAGTGTGCCTGTTTCACACTGCTAATTCCTTCTCTCTCTCTCTCTCCCCACCTTGAGTTACTTATAAAGTAATAAAGAGGCGATAACAATCAAATACATAAATAAATTGAAATGAATTGAAATAGTTGGGAATAAATAGTATGGGAACAATACATTGGGCCTAGACTTTTTACAAAATCACATAGGCAATTTTGCAAAATTGTAATAATCATCTGCAGTAGCACCCACTGAAAATTAGAGCTAAGTCTGATGGAATAGTATTTATACCATCAAGCAAGGCAGCCTTGGAAAGTAATTAGTTATTTCTCATCATTTTCAAAATGGCCTGCAGCCATCCAGAATATACTGGCTCTAAACACACATATATAAATGCTGTTAAAAAGTGGGCACAATTCCCTAAGGATATAACTTTACCAAAGTAAATGGATTTACACCAGCAAAGCATTTTGCCCAATATAAACTTTAACAAGGATCTGGGGAGTAGAATATCTGTCTTCTAAAGCCAACATTGCAGTGGCAGTTGTGTGCCAGTTTGACCTCTGGGTGTTTTGTGAAGCATTTAGAAATGTCACCATAACTCTTTGAACAAGGAAAAATGAGCCAGGAGGTATTAAGGATGTATTTTCTTGTTTAACCAAGCTTAGAAAGGACCTCCTGATTTAAAAAACTCTGAATAGTAATCCTTCACATTCAATACTTTTTTTTTTTTTGGAAAGCAAAAACAATATTTTTCTTATTCTGGAATACATCATCTATCTTTTCAATTTGTCCTTTCTTAAAACCCAAAGGAATAGTTTGAAGGTTAAGGGTTATACCAGCGTAAGGGTTACAACAGAGTAAGAGATCATGCTAAACATAAAGTAGAGTTCTCTCTAGTTTTGCTACATTGTAGAGCTGTGCAGATGCTTCATTGACTCCGTCCTATGTTAAGTCCCTTCTCTTACATACTGTATATGTATTTGAATTGGACAGGTTTGCCTTAGTTGATTTTGTCCCTTTTATTAGAGGAAATTTAAAAAAATCTGGAAATATTCTTATGTCTAGTCTCTTCTATGTTTGTTTGCTTATTTTTAGCAAGGGGGAAAAAACCTTTCAGCTCCAATTGCTTTTGCAGGAGTAAAAATGCTATTCACATCCAAATGACCCCATATTCCAAATGCAATTTTTCAGCACTGAGATTTTCCTTTGAAATCATAAGACTGAACTGCAGGAAACTCTCAACATGTTCAGTAAATGTCATCGCCAACTACATTTGAATTGAAGAGATTTACTTCAAGTGCTTTAACTTTTTATAGGGAAAGGGGTTGAATTTATTATTTTTCTTCCCTTAAAAAGTTTGCCTGATATAAGACTTGTTTTAATCTCTTGGGATTGCCCTACTGATAGTGCTGATTTCTTCAGTATATAATCTGAATTTATTCCCCAACTAAAACAGCTTTTTCACAGCCACGGCCATGCAGGGAAGGCACAGGAAGACTGTCTCAGGTCTTTTTAGGGCTACAGTAGACCTTTGATAAATCATTGCAGAAAATCTTTCTTTAATGTCATATGTAACTTAAGCAATATTATTCGAGGATTTTCTTTTATTATATCATTTTAAATGCAATTTACAGAGGCTGACCTTCATCATTTTTAGACAGGATTACAATTGGAATAACTTGTAAACTCAATAAAATAGACAGGTGGGTAGATAGATAGATAGATAGATAGATAGATAGATAGATAGATAGATAGATAGATA